AGTAAACCAAAGTTGACAATACCAACCATTAAAGATGAAATCCCTTTATTTCCTAATGTCCTGCCTTTACGTAGCTGATTTTGAAAATACAAGACAAATCCCAATGTTTTCTTCACCCATTGACAGATAGCACTTTTTTCATTTTAAAATCAAATGAAAGTTCCACTTCCAGAACTTGCTCAATCTGATGTTAGATGAAACCCAAACTAGAAAAAGTTCCTGTCAACAAAGTGCTGAAAAGAGTTAAATTGCATGAGAATTCTTTCCTTTATTCAATCCAACATTAAAAGATGGATAGAGTTTCAGTTTTCTGTTGTTCCATTAGTTATTTGTCCTTTCAGTTCATTAAACAGAAGATGAAGCACCAAGACCCAATCTCTGATCCAGGAGCAGATCTTGCTTTCTCGGCTGACGAACAGGAACAGGTAAACATGTTGGACATGTGGACCTCCAACCAACACAAAGTTGTGGAAGACATGCAGCTGGTTTGTAGCGCACAGACTGACTTCAAACCACATCAGTGTTGCTGCACGCTTCATTCATTTACACTTTCTGCATGCACTGGTTTACTTAGAACGCCTCCCATTTTTTTGAAGTGTTTAACGGCTTTTATTTCCTCAAACAGAAACAAGCGGAAGAAGTGCGCTCGATGAGAAAGAAAATTAAGAAGCTCTGGGCTGGTGAGCAACTGCCCTATTCGGCTGCTCCTAATTTCAGCACGTTATTGACCTTGATTTCTGATCACCTTTTAATTAGGCGATGTGGCCAAACAGTGGGCAGGGATAAAGCAGCTGCAGGAAGAATTTGAGAACAACTTGAAAGATGAGACAATGATGTGTGAGCTGATGTTTCATAGATACATCAATGATAAGAACGATGACAGGAGAGTCCTCAGTGAAACAACAGAACAACTGCAGAAGGAGATAGCAGGGAACATCAAGGCTAAGGAGGTATGTGTGTAAAAATGCATGTCCAAAAAGCTGAGGCTGAAGCAGATTTTGGGGTTTTGATCAAATTTGATGTTGCTAATAGTAACAACTGAAAACAATAAAAAAAGAAGACTTTTAAAGCTAATAGTTCAAATAATGTACTTAATTGCTTATGAAATATTTCTAAATTGTTGAGACTATAATCTTGACATGTCCCTTGATCTGTATGTTGGTTTTTATTCAACATGTTTTTTTTTTTTTTTCTAGGACTATTTTCCCAGAGCGAAAGAGGCAATAGAGAAAGATTTGTCTCCTCATCTGGGGAGAGTTAGAGAATACAACGGGGCTTTTGCAGAAGCCAAGGCTGAGCTTAACCTGCTTAAAAAGATAACAAAGTTCTAACCACATACAAAGGTTATGTCGTTGATGCTCATTATACTTATTTTATCTATTAGATCAACTCTTTGCTGCTAGAAGTGGATTTTTTCACAATGTGTTTTATAGGGTCCACTTAGAATTCCTCAGGAGAGCCTGAGATGTCTGAAGGAAGAACGCCATGAGCTGGAAGAGAAATTCAGCAAGGTAAAAGTATGATCTCTAAATTCTCCCAAAAGGGCACACAAGTGATACACACTTATACAAGCAGTTTTATTTAAAATACATTTGTTTTAAATAAATACAGGTGCTTAAAAAGCTGGCCTCCACCACAGAAAAGGTCCATGCACTCATGCTAGTGACATATTGGGGCCCCAATGGTATTCAATCTGCATTCATAAAACATTCAAAATATGCATGGAGAGCAGTTTGCGTGTGTGTATTTATCATGCACGTACCCTTTGGGCACAATTCTGACCTCGGATAAAAGGTTTTTCAGATTCTTGTATGTCCAAGTGTAAGCAGGGGTTGTCTGAGACTTTTTCATCTTTATGTAGCTTCGCATTGAGCAGATGAACCGCACCCAGAGTCTTACTCAGGCCTCTGGAGAACAGGATCTGAGGAGCATCTGGGCTCTCAAAGTGAAGGTATAATAGATTCACACCTTTATGGTCCCTTCTCTGTGAATTTATATGAAAGCATGACCAAAACATATTTACTTGCAGGAAGAACTAGGGGTCAGAAAGTCTGCTTTATTTAATTAATATTTTTTTTTCTTGTATTCATGGTGGATAAATGTGTGTCTTTCAGGTTGGCAGCAACAGGCAGGTTGGCATGTTTCGGAGAGCTGAAGCCGACCAAAAAAGTTTTTGTAATCTTTTTTTTTTTTTCACTTGGTTAGCAGAACGTCAAGATCTTTAACTTGGCTGTTCTTTTTTTCTTGCTTTGAATTTTTCATGTTTTGTCATTGTAATTTTTTATTAAAATCAAATGTTAATGTCAGGTACAGAGGAGCCTCATCAGAAGCAATCCAGAGTTAATTATTTACCCTCATGGTGATCCCTGACAAATACTGTTCACTGTTTTTGATTTTTTTGTGATTAAATAAATGAAAAAAAATGTTACTTGCTCTCAAAATCATTTTATTTCTCTTTATAGAGCCTATATTTACGAAGGTTTGGTAAATTACTAGTTTAGGGATCATTGTATATATTCACCATTTTTACTAGATTAATTTAGGAGATAAAGAGTTCTTGTTTTGTTTTTTGTTTTTATATTCAAACTTTTCTTTAAACATTTTACACAAAAAAGTTATATACAAGATTACACATATAGTACAAAATAACAGGAGACCATGAAAAGGCTCCTCATTAGGAGACTGAACAAAGTCAGAACCCTCCCATCAAGCTGAAGACATCTATAAGATTAAAGATGTAAAACAGAAAAGAACATCTGCTGTCTCTGAGCAGATTAGCTGCTGAAAGAGCAGAAACGATGGCGCTCTGCCTCGCATCACTGCTGGACAGATGAAGATTACTCAGCATGAATGAAGTAAAATGAAAATAAAAGATCAGAAAATAGGATTTCACATCCCCTTAGATCAAGACCTGTTAGAATTGAATTCTGATACTAGTCTTCCTCCCCTGGTGTAGTTTCGCTAAATACGGCCCATTTCCTATATGTTTGCAGTGTGTTTAGAGTCACATGGAGGCAAACATCAAGGAATAATAATATGTTTATTATTAATAAACTGCAGGAGTGAAAACCAGGAAGTGGGAGTAGAAAACATCAGTAATAAAAACAGGAATTAAGTCAAAATGAACTGAATGAAGGACAGTTGATTTCCAGAATAAAACCCATCATGTTCATCTCAGCTTATTTCAGACATTTTTCTAATAAATGGGTTGATACCAAGTTCAGGTACCGACCAGAAATCATTGGACCAGGTTGTGTCCTTCGCTCCTTTTCATGATTTAATCAGGTCTTCAGAACCACAATGAAACTACCTGCAATGAGTTCTAATCAAAGGACCCCAAAATTAAATTATAAAATATATATATATATATATATATATATATATATATATATATATATTATTTATGTCTTAATCAGTGTCATTGGGTGTGAGGCCCTCTATTGGCCAGCAGCCACTGGTTTCTACATCAGTCTCCCCACAGACAAGGAAAGAGATACAAACGACACCAGATCTACATCTACAGATCTACGGATCTTTTTCAAACCCTAAAGTGATCAAGTAAAAAAAAAATTATAATAATAAAATAGAGCAAATATTCATTACATCACTATAAAATAGTGTCCGAACTACCTCTCCGGCTATAAAATGTTGCAAACCCACTTATTGAACGGCGTTAGTTTTCAAACTTGCCACAAGGGGGCACCATTGCACTGCTGCTGACAGAACAGAAGCGTGAAGGCGTCTGCTTCATTACATACAGTATATACACATTAATCATTATATATCAATGCACCATTCCTTAAAGGGTTTGGACGAAAATTACATTTTTTTTCATGAATTAAATGTACACTGATTTTATGCTCTGAATATCTTTTTCTGATCTGAATTTAATAATTGCCACTGAGGAACCTTTGCTGATGAAATGAATCAGTTTATACTTAGACATCTTGTCATTTTGTTTGCACATTTTGTTTCCCTGATGGGTTTTTAATCGTTAGTAAACATGGAAGAGGGCTCGTTTATCTTTTATTTTTAAATTTGTATTTTTTTTTCATTTATGTATTTTTTGCTTATTTCCCCCTTTACAAATGTCTCTTTTTTGGCATTTCTTGTTCCACTTAGATGTATGTAGATGTTTCAGATCCCCTTCAACAACTCTGAATGTCTGACAAAAGAACCTGATCACATGAAATAAGATGTCTAAGATATGAGATGATTATCCAAATCTACCTTATTAAAGTAATTCCATCCTAGTCTAAAAAAAAAAAAAACTACCTGTAAGTAAACATATTTTTTCAAAGCTGTCTTGAAATTGAATTATCACACCTAAAATTACAATATGTTGAATCAGAAAGTTTGCCTCATACATAGAATGAGGAAAATGGTGAAAGATGAAGAAAAATCTGCTTAAATGGAACCTGTCAACATGAGGCATGTCAAAATTTTTATCTAAACACATTATGTCTTGCTCCAAAAAATATTTCAGAGATGATACTTGAAAGGATTTGACAGCCATTTTAAGGCTTAATGTCCCTCCAGTAAACCTTAGACACAGCTGTTAGGAGATCCTTAAACTAGGAATGCAACTAATTAATTTTTAATTTTTTTGCAAATTGATTAATCGGTCAATATTTTTATGATTATTAATTGGACAACCAAAGGTTCCTTAAAACATTTTTAATTTTAAAAATTAAAATCGACTGGACATATTGACAGATGATTTATTTATTTTTTTAATCTAAAATGCAAAATGTTTATATATTATTTCAGTTTAATATGGGGAAAAAAGTCCGAATTCTCACTTTTTTCTCATATTATACTGAAATAAAATTTTAAAAATCTGTTAACTTTAAAAAAAAAAAATTCAGTGGCCCTAATCCTTAAACTCCTAAGCAGCACTGCAGAATTGCAGCTTAGGCTAAAAATGTCCAATGTGTCAGAATGCTCACATTTTCCAGTTTCAGGGCAGAACACAAAACATGACGTCACTTTAACCAGCACTAGACGCAATGCCTTGTGGGAATATTTTGCTGCGTAGAAGACATTTTGGATCTGGAAGGGGGCTGAGCTAGCCATAAGTCTTAGCTCTCGGTAAGTAAAAAAACAGACTATACAATGATGTTAATCCTAAATATTTAGTTCTGTATGTTATAACGATTATCCGGCTGGTTTACTTTGCGGCCCCAGTGTTTATAAATGACCGAAATGAGACATTAAACAGCTGGAAGCCGCAGCTAATAGCCAGGGAGTGGTGAAGCTAACCGGTTAGCCAATCAGCGGAGCAGCAAACCGCATCTGTGGACAGTCTGTGAAGTTCGCTGTAACAACACGGTTTGGTACATGAAAACATCAATATTAACCTAAAAAATAAAACTACGAGATCATTCAGTTTTATATATTTGAATAGATTCTTTAAACGTAGCCACCTTCTGCCACGTTTACGATCCACAAAGCTACATTTTCTTAAAAACACTCCTGAACAGTGTTTATATTTCTATCTACCTTCTACTTGGTTAGGGTCATTTTGTATCTTTTCAGCAATGCCTTTCTTCACGTCAGTGTCGTTAACGTGTAATTACCGTAAAATAAAACAACTACTATGGAGCGCAGAAAAGCTCTAGCTGATTCATTTTGTTGAGGTTGAGGATGATCTTAGGACCGGTTGTTGTCGGACATGTTTAAAGGTATAGTCAGAGGATTGATGGGTGACTGTGGCACTTGTGCCACACCCTCCCGCGTGCCCGTCTCTCCTTTGTGTCTGGCACCGATTCTGTTGGATTAATGTTTGTGTAAGAGATGGAGGGAAACGTGGTGGTCAGGTCGTTGCATTGTTTGCCTCTGCAGGGACTCACTGCAGCCTGATCCCTTCTATTTTAAATGGACAACTTTAAACTACAAAAGTCTATTTTTTTTTTTTTTTTTGTTATTGTATTTTGAAGGTAATCTAAATTAAAACGTCTCAATTTTAACATTTGCCCCGAATCACTTTTTTAAACTTACTAGACTCATTAAAGCAAGTTAGAGGTTTAAGAAATAAAAAAGAAAAAGCTTGGATTGCTGCACCTGTAAGGTCAATTTTAAACTTAGCAACATCAGCAATTTCACCAATAAATCAGCTTGACATTCTGTTTCTGTCATCAATTGAGACCATAGGCTTCTTTTTCCCCCTAAATATTAAATTAATTTAAAAGTAGTACAAACCATTTTCTTGCTGGAAATCTACCTAAAAAAAAAACTAAATAAAAACAGGGATCTATTCTTTGGTGGAAAACAGGAGGATAATTATATTATTGTGCCATTTTCTTTTTTTATTTAAAATATCTTCTTTGGCTATTCTTTCCCTTTTAACAGGTTGTTTAAAAATTAAGATCTCAACTTATCAGATTTAAAAGAAAACCAGGGATATGTGTTAGCCAGGGAAAACTTAAACATTGCATCTTTATCAAAAAGGGTTAAAGAGCATATATGTACTACAAAATCTCTACACAATTCTTTAAGTCAGCTATATTTTAAAGCTTTTAACACAACTGTAGAAAATGGATCTAATGCTAACTTTTCTAGTCATTTTCAATTAGTTTAAAATTCTGACATTATTGTCTTTATTTTTTTTCACCAATGGTGAAAAGAATATATGCCCAAACTCTGCTGTAGAGCTTTCTAGATGATAGATCTTAGAATGCTGTTTGTGTGCGTGGGCTGGTTTGCTGCAGTGTTACCTGAGCTTTGAATGATTAAAGTTATCCGTAAAGTTAAGCGTTGCATTTCCACTGTTTTCAGTGTGTGTTTCATATTAAGAATAGCTGGATTATAAAAGCAGGTTCATGCTTTGCTCACAGCAGGATCCTTTGCTAGAGAAAATGCAAATGGCTGAAAACCTTTTTTTTTTTCTTCAATTTATTTCTCCCCTGAGTCCCTTTTCGTTGTCGTTGAGGTTATTCTGTAATGTCTGGGTATAGAGGAGAGAGGAGAGCTGCATGGCTCCCTCCCCCACCCAACCTGCTCCTCTGCGCTCGCCTGTTTTTCCTCTCGCTGTGGGCGGGCCCGTCTCCTAATGTGCACCCTTAGCTGATGCTGCTTGTTCTGACGAAGCAGTGGGAAGGTCACAGTCATCCTGCAGGCAGCTCCTTTTCCTCCCCCCTCCCTCTCTTCCTCTGCAGCATCATCATCCATTCCCTCTCATTACCGTCTCATTTTAATCCCATCTGTGTTCAGTTTCATGCGGATTTTATCCTTCTTACTTTGAGAATCTCTGGATTAGAGCCATGTATTTTCCTGGAATGTAGCAGAAGAAGGTGAGATCACCATTTTCTTCTATGTATGAGGCCTCCAGCAGGAAAAAATGGTAGTTTTTTCAGTTATTTCAGGTGATAGATGGATGACAGTTTTTCAACAGTTAGTGTGGCTAATTTACACTGCAGCATTGGTAGGTTTTTTGGGGGATTTTCGTGCATATTTTATCACAACACAATAAGATTACAAATCAAAGGCATGTATGTGGGAGCCATTAGCATCGATTAACCTCTGTTTTTTATGTTGATGCATGTTAGCTTTGTACAGTCTTCCAGCAGCATCTCTTCTCAGCTTCTAGAGATGAATGATTGGTTTAGATCTTGTTCCAAAGAATTAAACAGAATAAAAGCCATATAATGCCTTTTTACTTTTTTGCTCATAGAATAGTTCAGCTACAGCTGTAGTCAGTTAATTAAATTTCTGATTTCTTTTGATATATTTGTCTTTAGTGATGTTAAAAGTTACAGATTAATAGCAAGGCATCCTCATAAAGTGCAAACATTGGATGTTTTAAACTTCACCTCAGTTCTTTAAAGACTTGGCAAACATTAACTTCCCCTCTCTGAAAGATGGAAGGTGTTTGGAGTGTTTTATCCTGGAAAAAGAGCTGGCGGAGATGAAAGCGTACGTCTTTATGAGCTAATGTGCGTCCCCAGTTAGTCGGTGCTTTTATCCGCACAGGTGCCTGACAGCCAGAGTTGCTCTGAAGGGTAACAAGCAGTGTGATCTCTGGATGTTCTTGATCATTCAAAGGGAAAACATTCAGAGAGGATTGGAGCTTTGAAGCCAAACTCAATAAGAGAGACATGCTCAGCTCCACTTTTCCCTGGTTTAACGTAGACTTACGGAAAAGTTAATATCTTTTCCCTTGTGACTAATGCAGCAGAAGACAATAAAAGCTCTGTTACTTATTTTACTATGCAAATTTGAGTTATTCTGTTCTTTTGATAATTTGCTTCGGTCATAAATATAATAGGCTGTCAGCTCACTCTGCTTTCCATGTATTCACCAAGTCAACATTTTCTCTTTCACTAATAGGCTATTCCTGATTTTAATTGGTCATAGCTCATTATAAACTTAAAAAACCCTGCTGGGATTTTTTAAGTTTATAATGGTGAAAAACTTCAATATTTATGTGAGAGAGGAATGTATTTGGTCCACAGATGGGGAAAACTCAAAGATTAGTGTATTAATTTAATGTGTTTCCCTTCAGAAATGGTTGCTGTTTTTCTCTTTTTTTAACCCTGTTTGATCAGAGAGGTTTTTTTTTTTATTACAGTTCACTTCTTTTGTAACGTAAAATCATAGTGAAGGTTATATAAGAAGTGCTTGAAAGACTTAATGGCAGTTGAGAGAGGATTTAACATGCCTCTCCTCTGCTCTTCAGTAAATGATTCAATGCTTTTAATCATTTTAATCCTGTGTAGTTTAGAACGCAGGTATTTATGAAGCGACCGATGAATGTCCGTATCGTCTTAAGTGTTTCAAGGGTTATGTTTCATTTATTAACATTACTGACCTCATTTTCTGGGTGCTATTGGTATAATACATGACCATTTTAGTTAATTCTACCTGCCAACTGTTATTTCTTTAGTTTGTGATGTTGCCTTCCCTAAAAATCTCTGCTGCTTGTCCAGAGCTCCCAGCTGTTGGTAAACGGACACCAGTGTCATTCTGAACAGAGATCTCCACAGCTGCATAACTTTCAGTGGAGCACCAGCTGTTCAGTTTCTGGTTTGAGCGCCTGTCAAGTATCCGTCATGACACAAATCAACACGATGAACAACTTCTGAGAGACGCTCACTTTGTTCACATGATTTGACATAAATAACAAGGCAGAAGTGCAGGATTGGTTGAGCAGAAGATGATTCAGATATTGCTAGGAAAGATTTTTAATCTAAAAAATGAGCAGAAAGTTTTGGGGTTTTTATTTCCTTTTTTTTTTTTTTTTTTTTACTTCTTTTATCCCATGGGTAAACAAACACACCATTTAACCAATGAGTGAATGCAGTGAACCTGCTGCAACCAACCAGCCAGCTCTGATTTGTTTCAATTAACCCGTTCAAAATACGTTTTTCTTCCTGCACAAACGGTCAATAAGAACAGACAAAATTAGTGGTGTGGCCATTTTGAATTGGCTTTAGCTCTATGCACCAATATTGTGTTAACCTTTCATTATCATGTTGCGCTTCCTGGTTTCTAATGAGGTTATTGTCGGTTTAGAGGTAGCTGCCTGAATAAAGAGCAAACTTCAAGTCTTAAATAATGAAGTTTCTGCTCTGGTTGCATCTGGCTTCCTTCAAACCACATTAAGAAAAAAATTTTGTTCTAAGATAGTTGTTTTAAAAGCAACCTGGTAATGATGGATGGGATATTACAGCCTTTCAAACTGAAAACCAACAGATTTTCACCCAAAGAAGTCAGAATTGTTACACCCCCATATTTGATCTAACTGGCTCTGATGGTGCGGTGCATCCTCACAGACGTCTCTGCAGAGGTAACAGCTCTACAGACATTCTTCATGTTACGATGTGATGATAGTAACATAGGATCCCATTGCTCAACAACAGTTTATAACACAGAGATGCTGGGATCCATTATTACTCCTAGAAAGGGCGTACTGCTGCTGTGTTCTCCTATGCATGTGGATCGCTTTAGGGTTATCAAATATTCAAACAGGATCCTGATGGAGGTTCTGTTAGAATATAAGCATGAATGAACATAAGAAAACACTTCTTTTAGCACTAAAACCTGCTTTGTGTGATGTTTTTTCCTGCGGTTGTTGACGTAATGAACTCTGATCTCTATGAGAGGTTGTCTGTGATGCTCTCCTGTTGCTATAAAAACATTGCCCTCTAATTACAAGGAAAACTCCTCCCTCGCCACCTCATCATCTCTTCAACCATAGTCATCCTCGGTGCCCGTAAACACAGTCATTGCATTTTAAACTCTCAGCTATAAGTTTGAAGTTTTATTTCTGACTGAGTCCCAGTTGTTTAGGGCCTGGATGTTTTCCTTTGAGCATGTAGCCAACAGTAATGAGGCTTTGAGTCACAGTTAACCTTCGGACTCTTTGGGGGAAATGTCACATGTTCAAGGTACGCAATACATGCCTGGCATTTTTTAGTATTGTTAAGTCTTTCCAGCTCCTTTTTTTTAATTTTTTTTTTTGCAGGCAGCTTGACGGTTATTATTACTGGTACTTTTTGTTGTTGTCATTTTACACTAACATTCACAGCAGGCTGTGTTTTGAAGCTGGGATCAGAAAGTATCTCCTCTGGTAACCTGGAGCACTGCAGCTTATTATTGGCATCAAATCCCCAAATGATTTCCTGTAGCTGAATATCTTCTGTGGCCTTCAGAGTGGGTTTTGTGTTGTGCAGGGTGTGGCCTTTTGCTCAATGCACACAGATAACCAGTGTATGCAGATGAGCTTCCTGAAGAAATGCTGACCCACTGTGTGTCTCACATTGAGCGATTAGATAACCTCTGGGTACATCTCTCACTGCTGGAGGGTGATCTTATTACCGGAGCTCAGAGATGAGACGGTGTAGGTTAGCATCAACGGAAAAATCCCTGTACACACTGAGATCCCATTTCATGTCATACAAAAGAAGCACGGCTTGCTAAGAGAAATATTTAGAAAGAAAGCTGCATCAATTGATGTGACTCACAATTTTACATTAGCTGATTTACTTTTGCTCTTTATTTAGAGAGTTTGTGTGACACCCCTGCACAGCTGAGTCATTGAAGATCATTATTTGGAGCTTTTTTTTGTTCTAGCTTCTCCTTTTAAGATTTGCCTCAATTAGTTAGCTTGTCATTAAGCTTAGGTCCAAACACTGCAGCTTTTTTATAATATGTATTTTTGTCTGTAGAAAAGGGATTCCAAGTCTTCCTAAAAGGTTATTGTTCTTGTTGACTGCTTAAGCCTGACATTTTTTTTGTAAGATGCTTGTATTTGTTTGATTAAAAGCTTTTACAATTTTCTGACAATTTAGGGAGAAAAAAGAACAAAATTAGTCCATCATTGTAGATGAAATGACTCCCTTCTTGGAGCTTCTTAAACAGAAAAAGTTTTAAACACAAACTCATTTAATTTAGTTAAAAAAAACAATTTTAAATGTCATTCTTCAGCACATTAATTATTGGGTTGCATTCATGAATTACGCATTAGTTTAGAGATTTTTATGTCATTTCAATTTAAGGTATATTTACATATTGACAGAGATTGATCCAACCATACATTTATTGCTTTAAATAGTCAGCGACGTTATTAGAGCAGGTTAGGAAGTGATTGTATTTGATCTAAAAATAATCCTAATGTACAGCAGGGATGAGTATTGCCAAGGTTGTTATGATACAAAAAGCATCACAATACATTATTATCGTGGTATTGCAATGTTCTACTAAGGTAATATGAAAATGAAATGTAGAGATATAAAAGCAAGAGCTTTATACGCTATCAGAAGATATCGATCATTCTGTTTTGGTACCTATGTTGTTTGGTGTTTCAGTTGCACAGCAAAAGGGATCCATAGCGCCATCTACTGGAATGGTGGTGCAGAGGTAGCCTATTTCCCCCTATTGTTTTACATAGGGGGAAATAGTTTTTAATTTTATCAGTAGCTAAAAAGTTCAATATTATATTGGGCAGCCTAAGATAGCGATATATCGCCAAATTGATTCATTTATTTTCTATTCTATTCTATTCTATTCACTTCTAATACATTTGAGGACAACCCTGGATTTTGCTCAACTAACATACATACATAGATGAATGGTTCTAAAAACTATTTTAAAACACATCAACCAGATTATCTGCTGTTCTTGGTTTTGTAAATCACTCATCTCAGCTAAAGCAGCTTAGAAAAATAGAATAATATTAACATTGAAACTTTTCTTTTAAATCCCCTTTGTTTAATTTGTCAAGGGAAAATCTAGAACACAATTTAAACAGTTCTTTTGTTGTTTTTTTTTCTATTTTCTGTTGTTCATGTTTCCTTGAGCTCCAGCAAAAATGTCAACTATGGTGTATCCACGGGAGGAGAAGCTGGAGAAGCTCTCCCAGGAGGAGATCATCTCCAACACAAAGCTGGTCATCCAAGGTCTGGAGGCCCTGAAGAACGAGCACAACTCAATCCTCCACAGCCTGCTGGAGACCATCAAGTGCCTAAAGAAGGATGAAGAGGCCAACCTGGTCCATGAGAAGTCCAACTTGCTCCGCAAGTCAGTAGAGATGATCGAGCTAGGCCTGGGAGAAGCCCAGGTAAGGAAAAGAAGCCTATGATAATATAGGTTATATTGGATAGTCGTCCGGCTTGTTTCCTCCTCACAGCTTCCTCATTCTATACTGAGTTCACATGGTGATCATGATTCACTCAGAATCTGACTGCATTTGTAGTTGTCTTTCTTGTCCCTTGCTATGTTTCTTCCGTCCCGTTAAATGTCCTCAATGCTGTCTCTACCTCAGGTGATGATGGCTCTGTCCAATCACCTGAACGCGGTGGAGTCTGAGAAGCAGAAGCTGCGCGCTCAGGTTAGGAGGCTTTGTCAGGAGAACCAGTGGCTGCGGGACGAGCTGGCCAACACCCAGCAGAAGCTCCAGAAGAGCGAGCAGAGCGTGGCCCAGCTGGAGGAGGAGAAGAAGCACCTGGAGTTCATGAACCAGCTCAAAAAGTATGATGAAGACGTCTCGCCCACTGTAAGTAAATCTTTAACAGCCCTGTGAGGAAATTTTTAAACTATTTGTATGGTGTTGAGTTATTTATTTCTTTTATAAAATAAAGGATGTTTTCCACACTAAAGACCTGGAGCTCATCCCTAAAGATCATCATCAAAACATGAAAGCATGCTAAAAGTCAGCAAACATAAAATGGGTTTATTGTTGTAGTTGCACTTGCAGTGAGAATGGGTGTCTGGGACTGGTGCAGGGAAAGAAAAGGACCCATTGATGTAACCCTTTTCATGGCTCAGTTCTTCTCATACCTATTGTTGTGGAATTTGCTGCTGAAGATTGTCAGTCATCCAGGTCATAGTCTTGGTATCTTGCTTTAACTATTTGTACCAGAATTTCCCTGATGGAGTAATCCCAAGGGATAAATAAAGCTGAGCCCAAGTCTTGTCATTGTTAAAAAGTAAAAAAAAAAAAATCCAATGGACTTTGTTTCCAAGTTTAAAGACGTTTCGTTTTTCATCCAGGAAGCTTTTTGAATTCAAAATGTCAGAATAAGCGTTGAGTTAGTGGACACAAACAACGCCTTGTTTTGGCTTAGAAAACATGCAAATTGAACCAGAACAACGGGTATTCCCCTTAGGAACTGCGACTGTTGGTATTTAGTTCTGTTAAACCAATTAAACATTTTCTAATATTCCACTCTAAAAAATAAGTCATAAAGGTATGAATGATTTGTGCTGATCTCGTATCCATTCAGTATTTGTATTGGTCAAAACTTAAATCTGCAATATTGGTTATTGTGAATGAGAAGCTTTTATCTAGGCATCCCTAATTCTCTCTAGATTTAGTTGTTCCAAAATGTCAATTGTAGTAAGACTGATTACCAATAATAGGCTACAAAATTTCAATACACACTTCTCAATTTCCATAGTTTTCTGTTTCACCAGCTGCTTTAATATGCAATTTGATGCATACTGAGTCACTAGCAAAAAAATCTGGAAGAGCTCTCATATATTTGCATCTAAGTTACAGTCAGCAGGTGCTCTCATTTGCTGCATACCGTATGGTGTGTTTCGGACTATTAGCCGCACCTGAATATAAGCCGCAGGAGCTGCTAAATTGCATGATTTGTACATGTACAAGCCGCACCGGACTATAAGCCGCAGGTTTTTTATGTTTAACACAAACTGTCTTGCGCTCGCAATGTCCGTCTTTCTCGCTGTCGTTCTGTCACTTACCTCTTGCGGTAGAAGTCTGCTTCCAGAGGACCTCCGCATTCCCGCGCGCGTGCCTACCGTACTTGTGTGTTGAAGCAAATGTGACGTCAACATGGTGGATGGTAAAATCCATAGATTTAGGTATTACCCTAGTGGCTGTTAGCTGTAAAAGTACATAGATATGCCGCATTGTTATATAAGCCGCAAGGTCGAAAAATGGGGGGGAAAGTCGCGGCTTATAGCCCGAAAATTACGGTATGTTCCTCTGGTTGTTGAATCACGGCTTAACTTCTGACCAAAATATTGGCCTAAATTGAGAGATATTACATTTTTTCTCAGCTTGGCATATATCACCTGGTGCATTTCAATTTTTTCCTCGTCTTTACAAGCGGCTCCATAAATTCTCAATCTGCTGGTCCAAAGTGGTCAACAATACGTTTCCTGAACACAGAGGTGTAGTGTTTATTTTTGTGACAGAAGAATTGAAATGTTGCTGAACCTAGAAGTTCCAGATCTAGCTCCTCCTGGTGGCTAAAGGTTGCACAGTGTTGCTTTGGTATAATTTGTATCCAGGGCTGAAAAAGCCCCAGAGTACAAAAAAGAAAAGTAATTAAATCAACCAAAAACCTTTTTGACACTGAAATGTTTGTTTGTGCTTTGTTGTTTTATTGTGTTAAGCAGTTGCCAAATTGAGGTTGTTACATCAGCTATTGTACTAAAAGCTAAGGAAATATTAGTGTGTTGCAAATTTGTACAACAGCTATAATGGTCAGTAATAATTTACAGCATCAATGACCAGAGTCCAGTGTCAAAGGTTCATAGATCTTCATTGAATATGTAATAACTGGCATGGGGAGAATGCACACAGTATTCTAGCTGTTTGGGTCATACAGTTTGTTGCATATTTGCAACAGGCGTCAATGGGTTATACATTTTTTACTCTCATTGTGTTTTAATTGCAGTAAAAAAAATTCTCTAAATCAGTAATTGTGTTAAATTATTTGCCAAGATGTTTGCAATACTTTTTTGTATTTGTTTTTAAGTAGAAAGTTCTAATTTTAGCTTAGTTGCCATAAAGAAATGTGTATGTGCAGGAGATACGCCTCTCCTGTTTGCTGAGTAAGAATATACCTTTCTCCAAATAAGAGGCTACTTTAGGTTTTTATTGATGAGGTGGCAACAATGAGCTGCTATATTACCTTCCCGTATGTTGATCCCAAAATGGGGCTTATTGGCTTTTCTTTTCTGCTTAAATCAGCAGAAACTCTCCTGCTTGGAGCCTTAGGGCCTCAGTTATATGTCTAGATTAGCAGTAATGTTTTCAAGCCTTTTTATTACTAATGGATGAGAGAACTTTATCCTCCACCTAAAGGTTTTAAGGTTCTATAGAGTCTAATATTTGTGGTTGTGTTTATGGTGATTTTGCATCATTTGTATGGTTATATGTAACCTTCTTTAATTGATGATAAGTTAACTCAACCTAGTTAAATAGGATTTGAAATCTTTTATTATTCTTGACATTTTTTAAATATGTTTTAATGTCTGAAGGAGGTTCTAATAGGGCTGGGCGATATAGAAAAAAAGCTTATAGATAAAAAAAAATGCATATTGATCGATATCGATAATTATTGAAACAATTTGAAATTTTTGAAACCATATTTTATGTGCAGCTCTGCCTGGACATTTTATGATAGAGCTAAATGATTTAATTTAATAAAGAACACAAACACAGACTTCCAATTAAATCTTTATTTAACCAACTTTTATAACCATAACAGAATTGTTTTAAAGAAAAATAACTTAAGAGACCTGAGTTATGTTATTAAATACTGACAAAGAATAAACTAAAGTGACCAAAATAAATATAACAAATAAATGGACCAGCCCCCCCCATGACTGTGGTTTGTTTTTTGTCCGACTTGCCATGACCGAAATACTTCCAAACTGGCGAACTACAAAAACCCTTCTTTGGAACAATTTCCTCCGCCTCTCCTTGCTGCGACATCTTCATGTGCTCTGTGTTGTGGTTTGAAAGGGCGGCACTTTGTGACGGCGTGCCTGGGTCTGTGATTGTGATTGGTTGGGAGGAAGCAGTGACTAGCATAGCATAAACCTACATGCTAGGCTACAATGAGAAGGAAGGAAAACAGCATTTTTTAATGAACTTTTATCGAGCCTATTTTTTTCTATTGCGCCACACGTCTATCGATCGATATATATCGTTATTGAATTATCGCCCAGCCCTAGGTTCTAATTATTCTTCTTCTTTTGACCAGCAGGAGGAGAAAGACAGAGAAACACCAAAAGACAACTTGGACGACCTTTTCCCTAATGATGAAGAGGACCAAGGTCAAGGAAGTAAGTGAAAGGATGTTTAGTACTTGATCTTAAATGTGTATTTACTAATAAGTAAATAAATGAATTCAGTTTCCAGCTCTTGGTCTGTGATGTAAAAAAACAAGGGAGGTTTTAGGGTCGAGGCAGATTAATGTACATCCGAGAACTCCCACCTGATTCTTTGTTTTTCTAAAGAATTTAAAAATGTTTAATTCTTTGGTCTTTCCTCTCACAGTGCAGCACCAACACAACAGCGCTGCCGTGGCTGCAGCCCAGCAGGGAGGCTATGAGATACCAGCCCGCCTGAGAACCCTGCACAACCTGGTGATCCAGTACGCCTCTCAGGGCAGGTACGAGGTGGCGGTGCCGCTCTGCAAGCAAGCTTTAGAGGACTTGGAGAAAACCTCTGGACATGACCACCCTGATGTTGCCACCATGCTCAACATCCTGGCTTTGGTCTACAGGTAAGGATCAACAGATACACTTGACCAGCTTCCTCCTTCATTATTTTGCTTCATTAAGCTGATAAAGTCCTGTTTCTTTAATCATGCAGGGATCAAAACAAATACAAAGAGGCTGCCCATCTGCTCAATGATGCACTATCCATCCGTGAGAAAACCCTGGGCAAAGACCACCCAGCTGTAAGCATTCAGTTTTCATGGCAGTAGCTCACAGCCATCTGTCCCTTTATGTTTGTTTTATGTAACTGGTGAACGGGGAGGAAAACCAGCTCAGTTCTATGTTTACTGTCCTGCTCAGTCATTTGTTATTCCCCTCTACTAATTTATGGATTGCTGGTCATACGCCCGGAGGCAGGAAGTAATCCGTCAATAGCTGTCTGGGCCTACTCTGGCTTACAGTAAATTCCTCACCCAGGTTACAGGTTTAATTAGAACCGAAAATGAAATAATTCAGTTTCATTTGATTCAAAAAGTGAAACTTCTGTTATTTAGAGGAGAGGTTTTCCATCTGCAGCCGTTTACAGAGACTAACCTGGACGTTTTTAATCAATCCTTAATGTAATGCACGGAATATATATTAATTATATTTATAAATAATGTTTAGAATTTGGGCTTATATGTGGCTAACGCAGAAAATTAAAAGAATAATGCATATTTATCTATTTTGATCTGCACTTCTTATAGGACAATGGCAGATACCCTCCATAAGAAGGATAAAGACACAAAAAATTATTTTTAAAGAAGTTGATTGTTTAATGTTCTCCATCCTCTATATTATTGACAATAAGTTGGAGAAAGTCTAAGAAATATTATGTTACTTTCCTGTTATGGCAGGCCTGTTAACTAATTCTTGCTGCTTATAAACTGAAAATGATGTGAGAGGAAAAAGTGCTACAATAATTTGTCCAGGTCATACGAATCATTTCTTAGATTTTTTTTTTTTGTAATGTTAAATCTTTATAGAAACTTTAGTTTGGATCTTCATTAAAATTTTCACTAAAATGATTCAATGAATCAAGTTTCTCTTGATATTTCAGTTCATCCAGATGCATATGTAAAATAACCAATCTGAAAGATTAATCTAAAACTAGTTAAGATTTCTTTAGAAACATTCCCACCCCCCAGAGTAAGCTAATAAAGCAATGCTGCAGCTCTTTTTGTTTAACACCTTGGAGGTTTGAGTTTTCTTAGAGCCCAGCTTGACAGAGCTTCTTGTATTTGAAGACTTTATTAGCTCTCTGGACTCCAGCGGGAAAAATCCCTGAAGTGCATCAGTACAAAAACAGCAGAGGGTCTAATCATTGTGTCTGTCTCTTATTCTGTCCAGGTTGCTGCAACGCTCAACAACTTGGCTGTGTTGTATGGAAAGAGAGGGAAGTACAAGGAAGCCGAGCCTCTTTGCAAGAGAGCTCTGGAGATCAGAGAAAAGGTGGGTCATGTCCCTGGACTGCACCAGCAGCACAGTCCGCCGAGCAGGAAAAAGTCTCCTCAGTAACATCATCTTTGGATAGGAGAAGATGATTTTCTTAAATTGAGTGTAAAGTTCTTCTGGGGGCTGTTCCCTGGTCAGAGTGGGAATTATGGCTTTTAATTGAGAGCACAGCTGAAAATGGATACAAAGCACTAGGGAGGAGAAGCAGAAGATAGATTAGAGACATGACCAGCTGTTGAACTCTGAAGGGTAAAATGTTATCTGTTGGTCCTATTCTGAGCTCACTCGATCAGTCATCTGTCTTTTATATATTCTGTGTTCTTGCAGCAGAAAAAAAAACAAAGATCAGATGATTACAGAAATGATTTTCTAAAAACTGTCTGCAGCGTCTTACACTGGTGATTTAGCTCTATTAGTGTCTCTTTGTGCATTTCTTAAAAAATGTACAATCTTACCTTTACTCAGCCTTCCTGCACTGCAAAAATGATCTCAAAATGAGTAAAAATGTCTTAAATTAATGGTATTTACCCTTAATTTAAGTAGGTAAATAAGATGATTTGCCAATGGAATTAGTATTTTTACTCTTAAAATAAGATATCTAGATAAAATGCACTTGAAATAAGACAATGCAATTGTTTTTTCGTATTTTAAGTGTAAATTGTCCTGTTCCATTGGCAAAGTGTCTCACTTAAATCCTTAATTCAAGAAAAAATGCACTTATTTTAAGAAGAAATTACTTATTTAGATTTCTTTTTTTTTTTGCAGTGTGTTATCTACCTCTTGTTTTGTTTTCACTATACCTCACTGAGGTGTGGTGTGTTTTCTAATCAAGGTATTCAGATTTTTATGGCTATGGAAGTTTAGTTACTGATATCGTTAATCATGAAATTTGGACCATTCTAATCACCAGCTGTTTTCTCTTTGCACCTTTAGCACAAAGAAACAGTGAATTATTAGTTTGTCTCTCTGTATTGCCGTCAGGTCCTGGGGAAAGAACACCCAGATGTAGCCAAACAGCTGAACAATCTGGCCCTACTGTGCCAGAACCAGGGCAAATATGAGGAGGTGGAGTACTACTACTGCCGCGCCCTGGAGATCTACGAGTGCAGGCTGGGTCCAGATGATCCCAATGTGGCGAAGACCAAGAACAACCTGGTGAGAAAGAGGCATCCTGGCTCAATGTTCACTCAAAGCCATTTATTTGTACTCAAAAGCCTCTTAATATTCTACAGAAACGTACATTTTGTTTTGCTGTTTTCAGAGGATCTCTGCAGAGGCCTTTGCTTTACAGATTGAATTCTCTCCACAAAGTTTCACTTTAATACATTTCAAATTACATTTTCTGCATTTCTTTAAGCTAAGCTCATTCAAGGCTGTCATTTTCTCTCACAGAAATTAGCTAGATCTTTATTCTTTATTATATTTTTGAGGTAGTTAATGTCCTTGATCTCCTCGCTCATTACTTTATGTTCTCCAGTTTTTTTTGTTTGTTTTTTTATCATCTCACAGTCAGTAAAATCTTCCCAGGGCAAACTCGAGGCTGTGTGCTGCAGTGTTGTTCCTGCATGATGCCTATGCAGATGGATTTTTCTCCTCAGGGTTTGCAGAGTTAGTGCCCTAAAATGCATCCGTATTTACATGTATTTTCTCCTGTTTCTCTGCAGGCCTCCTGCTTCCTCAAACAGGGGAAATACAAAGAGGCTGAGATTCTGTACAAAGAGATTCTGACCCGAGCTCATGAGAAAGAGTTTGGATCGGTTGATGGTAAGGAACCATAATGGATGATAGATTAGAGATTGTCATTTTCTGCTTGGATTAAATGTGTTTTATAACTAAACTGGGTTTATTCAAGCTATTATTATGTAGATGGTAAAAAAAAAAAAGATCTCATTCTGAGCAGGTTGCTACAGTTTACTGGGATGAAGGATAAACCGTTATGATGTTCGTTTTTTTCTGCCTGGGTCATTAAAAAGGAATCAGAAATCATTAGTCTCCTGCCGCCTACGTCTTGTTTTTTTGTTTTTTTTTTAAAGCCTCTCTTATTTTCCTAAGAAGGCTGTTTAATGTGGCGTTTAGCATAATTTTCTTTCCAGCCTGAAAGAAAATGAGAAAATAGCATAACTTGATCATTGATTAATTAATTAATTCATTTATCAAAAGGGTTTATCCCTCCTGAGAATTCATTCCTCCACCTGACCTCGTTTTTTTGGTCAAATATGGCTCTTTGAGCAGTTTGGGTTGCCGACCCCTGAACTACCTAATTAAATACATGTGTTCGTGTAATGCTTTTGACCCTGCAGTATGTGAGCAAAGTAATTTGTAGATGAATCAAGTATTTTGGTCAGTGTTGGAGTCCAGTTGTATATAAACCATCTCTCCTGTCTGTCTGCAGCTCAGAACAAGCCCATCTGGATGCATGCAGAGGAAAGAGAGGAGATGAGCAGGGTAAGAACACCTTCAATTAAACAAAGCTGTATGTTTGGTAGGGAAAAGCCGTCCTTGGAGTCTGAAGTATCGTCCTTTTTTAAGGATTGCGTCTCAGATGCAGAGGATATCTGTTAGTTGTGGACACAGAAAAACGCTGCCGATCAGGTTTTTAATCCGTCTTTCTCTTGTGTTTTTCTTTGTTTCCTCTCTGGATTATTTCCAGGGCAAGCACAGAGACAACACCCCATACGGAGAGTATGGTGGCTGGTACAAGGCCTGCAAAGTCAACAGGTGACACTAATAGCCATGTTTTATAGCTTAGTCGTAAAGCTAGATGTAGCCTCTAGATGTAGTGCAGCCTTTACCAAACCTGATGGGTTTGCATTTGTCTTTTTCATCGTCTTGTGACCTTTTTAAGTAAATTTCTTTCCCTTTTTCATGCAGCCCTACAGTGAATACTACCCTGAGGAACCTTGGTGCCCTCTACCGCCGTCAGGGCAAACTCGAGGCCGCTGAGACACTGGAAGAGTGCGCTGTGAGATCTCGCAAGCAGGTCAGCCACACCCTCTAATCCCCTTTCTGCATGCCGCATGCATACGTTCCTTTTTATTATAAATTCTGAAGAATATCCTTCATGTTAGGAAAGCAAATCTCATGGTATTTCTTTCCCTTTTCCTGCATTGCTATGGATCCAGAGCAACACAGTAAGTGGTTCATCTCTGTTGGCTCCCATTGAGCTTCCACCTCTCCCCCCTAACATCACTCTCATCTCACAATCATTTAAAATACTTGTCGGTCTCTAAAAAAGTGATGTAATTACATCAGGAGGGGCAGGAAATGGGAAATCTCTTTAATTCCCCCCATAAAATGTTTTACTCCCACCCATTTTCCCCGTGCCAATGTCTGCATCGGAGCTCGTTCTAACTATGCCTGTATCTCTGCAGGGCATCGATCCCATCCACCAAACACGTGTGGTGGAGATCCTGAAAGATCCAGAGGGCGAGAGGCGGAGGAGCAGAGATAGTCTGACCAGCGTTAAGTACGAGAGCGGCTCTGAGACCGGCGAGGAAGTGAGTATGGGCGTGGAGTGGAACGGGGTGAGTACAAATCCACTATTGAATAAACACGACTGCCTCTCTGGAAAAACCAGCCGGTGTCAGTGATTCCACAGAGAGTCTGGGCTGGTACAGAAATTCACTGCTTCTTCCTAATGTCATTTAAAGATGAACCTGGTGTAAAACATAGGAGGAATCCTTCCAATTTTGGACCTTTTAAATATGTAATATTAAAATATCTTTAAAAATACTTGATTGTATTCAATGTCAATAGAACCAGAATAATACATACAGGCTCATATAAACACATGCCTTAATATTTGTTTAAATTCCCCTCAATAAGTTGCACTTTGGCTGACATTTTTTTTTTTTTGGCAGCAATTAACACTTTTTAAGAGCAGTTCTTATTGAATAAGTGACAAGCTTTTCTTTGTAAAGTTAAAAGTCTCAGACATCCAGGAAGAAAAAAAAGTTCAGATTGTTAGGATTATTTTCCCAGAAGTGTTCAGTGAATGTTGGTGCCACCCCCTTGCTTGACAGTTTGTAGCATTTCCTTAGGTTTGAACGCTTTACAACTGCTCCCTGGGCACACAGGATCAGTGCAATTAATTAGTAGATGGAAGGATGTGTTCCACTAAGGCAAACACACAACAGAGCAGGTTTTGGACGGATAAAACTAACCAGCTTTGAGCCTTTAGCTTGATGAAGAATGTTTAGGCTGGTAGACGGCTGTTGTCCCTGCCATGAAACAAATCAAAGAAAGCATTTTGATGTCAGCCAGAAATATTTCAGAACCTTTTTGTTGGTTAAAAATACATATTTTTTTGCCTACATATTAACAGTGATGTGTCCATATGTCTGAGTCTGCATGTATGCGATTCCAACTCTGTGGAAAACAGAGAATCTAAAAAAACTTCACACCTAGGACCTTAAATTAAAAGGTCAAACACATCTTCAAAAGCCACTTTATTGAAATCTTGCCTTGATGATCAGATGTTAACTTCTCTCTCTGGGCTGAATAGGCTGCTACATTTAGCAGGATGCTAACCTCTGCCTCTGCTCCTCATACATGGATAGCAGTATCTCAGAGCTACTTAAACTCTGGTCAGCCCAACATAACCTGCTGTACTGACATCAATGTAGACATAACAGGCTTGATTTGGCGATTTCAAATTTGTGATGCAAACTATGTTCACACAGAAGGCAGCCCAGCATGCAGTGATCTTTCTGTACCAGCCCTTCGACTCCCTGCAGTTAGGCCATGTTTTTGTCCTGGAGTTGAACCTAGTTTCAGCTGTTCTAAAACTCAAAAGCTGATTGAGTGTCTTGGCATGCTCTTAGCCTCACTGTTTGCTTTACATCACATGTTCGTTTGTTTTTTTGTTGTTTTTAAATGAGTGGTTCTTTTGCTGGCAGTGCTTCTTTGCAAGTGAAACTATGAAAAAGGCACACGCTCAGTCTCCGTGGCCCTGGTAACATAATACATATCCGCATCCATGCAATCTGAATCCTAGATTGAAATGTCTAATGCAGTTTAAAAGGTTCATTGCACACACGGTAGGCTAGAGGGTTGATTCTCCTTCGACATAATGAGTATCACATGTCTGCTGATTGTTTGAAGCAGATCAGGACTTTTCTGAGAGGTTTTAAAGGGGTTTGAGTATAAAAAAAAAAAAGCAACAACAGAACGGGTGTGGCAGGTAGAAAAATAAAGCCTCAGCCTGAGCTTGTGCCTCTTCATTCACTTGGCTGCAGCCACAGCCTCAGCATGCATGTTCCAGCCTGCCACTCTCACCCCCTAACATGCACTAATGGACCATGTCTGTTCCAATGGTTTCACATGAACTGAGCTCTACTGCTTTTTTTTTCTCAGCTTGATATCTAGTGTTGTTTTTTTTAACTTCCTGAAGTTTGAATGTGAATCATTTCGCATTCAAAGTTGGTCACATTTGTTAACTCACCTTGTAAAGATGTGTGAAAAGCCTTAAAAAGTAAAATCTGTAATTTAAGTTCTTTAATCAGTTGAGGCAGATGTGGCATATTTATACTGGAATAAAGTTTGAGCAACTAACTTTACCTCTATAGTTTTTTTCCCTTTAATTTAATTATTAGTTGTTTTTTTCCCCCCTTTAATTTCCTTTAATTTTCGTAATTTTAAAGTTTACAGAAAAAATATTTGTTTTTGCAGATAAGACTTTGACAAAGTTGCAAACCCTCCTTAAAATATATTAAAGAATGTTTGGTTACAGCAACGTTTCCTTCACACTAAGACATAATGGGTCTGTCTGTTACCTTGGCGATCAGATATGATGCTTTCTCCCCTTTCTAGAAAGTTTCCATTTTCCACCCTTTTTTTCTGTCAAGTTTCAGGTGTTAGTATTTCAGCCCCATGACTGACTCCCCAACCTAGCCCTGCAGCAATATCACAGTTGAAATATTGTGTATTCCTCTTTTACCAGAGGCCATGATTTGGTCAAACTTAGGACCAAATTAGTCCTGAGTGTGACCGATTTGATTAAGATCAGAGGTCCTGCAACTTTTGGAAGCTTGGCATGACAGAAAGTTTTGCAAAGACCTGATTTTAACTTATTGATTTAAGCAAAGTGTGTTGGAGGTGAGAGAAACGCTTGAGGGCTGGAATTGCAAACCCTTGCTTTAGTCCTGACTCTTCTGATACTGTCTTCTATTTAGTTTACTCTGCAGGTTTTCTATTGGTTTTAGGTTAGTTAGAAGATGACGATCAAAGAAGGCTGTTTTTTTTTTTTTTTTTTTTTT